GTTGCAAAGATTAATTAGAGGGTTGGCCTAGATAACTGTGTTGATAGTGTTTGGGAGGGGTATTAATAGATGAACGGGAATTTTGCTGCCGTTGTTAACTGAATTCTGATGTCATATTCATATGTAATTGCAGACCTACCAAATTTTGAATTCTGAGGACCATGCCAATTTTTTGATGAAGCACAAAAAGAATCCTACAGATTACAGGCCAGACATTGTTCATCAGGTTTATATTACAAGTTTTATGTTACGATACACTTCATTCTATTTATTATATTTGTGCTTCTGTTAACATTTTCAGAAGGTTTCAAAGATGTATGCTATTATTGCCTTGTGTATCTGGCCGTTTTTCTGAAGTAGTTGTGATTATGAATGATATTTCAAGCTCTTCTGATGATTTTGGATAGCCCCTTGAATAAGGCTGGGAGGATTCAATCTGTGTATGTTAAAACTGAGAAAGGTGTACTTTTTGAGGTTAAACCTCACGTGCGTATTCCAAGAACATATAAGCATTTTGCTGGCATTATGTGTAAGTTATAATTATTTTGTCATGCATCTTCTTTCTATCAACTTCTATACGTCACTCTAATTACGTGATTTGCTACTGAAGGCATGACGTGTGGTTACTCCTTAAGGCCCTCTCTCATTTATCATTGCAGTGCAACTGTTACGAAAGCTGAGCATATCTGCTGCTGGCAAACGAGATAAACTTTTTCGTGTGGTTAAAAATCCTATAACTTAGTATCTACCTCTTAATTCTCGTAAGATAGGTGAGCTTTACTCTGAACTAGTAATCCTGTCTAATAAATTTCATAGTTCAGATCACTTTTATCTCTCTATTCCCCCCTCCATAGTCAGTGACATTTGTTCATATTTCAGGCTTTTCATCTAGCTCAGAAAAATTGGTTGACATTCAGAAATATGTGGATGCTGTTAAAGATGATTCCAATTTTGTGTTTGTGGTATGTATCAGAAGGGACTGAACTTTGTCTATTAATTCATTTATATGAGTCAAAACTTAGGTGTCTTCTAATCCTTTGCTCGTTCAGGTTGGTGCTATGGCTCATGGAAAGGTTGATGATGAGTACGTTGAAGACTACATATCAAGTAAGTTTTTCCTAAAGTTACTTATGTTGTCCGATTACTTGGGAAGCTATCTACCAGTGTTTAAATACTATGAATAATAGAGTTAATTGCAAATTTGCAACACGGATACTGTTCTAAAGTTTGCATAATTTTTTTTTCCTTAGTTTATTGCTTTTACTTGTAAGCAGATGAGGTTCCAAGTTCTATATTAATGATATTGGTTTGTGAGTTTGCTCCCTTTTTTTCCCTCTGCTTCCTTTACCAACCCCTTTCTCTCCTTTACCCTCAATCTCTAATGGTGCTTGGTGCTCACTCTTCCTTTCTGAACCTATATTTAAATTCCACTCAATCCTTTCTTCTGCAATTCTACCTTCACTTGCTTACCTCCTTATCGATGCTCAACATCCATTAACTATTACTAAAACAAAACATATTGATGTCATCAATTCCTAAATGTCTTATGTGTCAAGCTCTCATTAAAAAATTTCCCTCCAAATTTACATATGATGTCATCATTTTTATTTTATTTTTTGCCTTATCATTTTATTTGCTAGAAACTAGAACCAAGTAGGTATGAAACTAAAAATCCGAACCTGACTTTGACATCAATATTGTTGTGCTTCCACTCTAAATCTATAATCTCATTAGATAATGCAATATTTTATACATAGTATATTTTTTCTAACCATCATTTTAGTAAATTTTAGTATATTTTCAATAACATAGTAAATATTATGATGTAGCATTAAATTATAATCATTAAAAAATATAAAGAATGATGTACATGTTTTTTTTATTTTTTTTAATATTTATATAGTAACAAACTTTATTTTTACAAAGTAAAAAGCGAGCTAAGTCATGTTAAAAAGTTATCAACAACAAAAGATATAAAAGAAATATGAAAAAAATTGCTTATCACCACCATGCAACGCGCGAGTACTAATCTAGTTCTAAACTATTATTGAAAATCTTCTCTCTTATATATTATGTATGCTATACAATTCTACTTAGGATTAGTTCTTAAATCCTCAATAAGGTTTATTATAAGTTGGACTTTAGGAGTTATTGAGGCATCCAGGAACTGTCATAAAAGTTAATGGAGACATCGATAAACTCATATAGTAGTGAAGGGTTGTTGTATATTACTTCATTTTCCTTCTAGTACATTGAAAATTTTATGTGCAAATGAGTAGGTTTTGGTGTCAAGTTGTCTTTCATGAATTAGACTTGCCAACCTCAGTGATTAATAATTTGTGAAAGCCCAATGGATCAGCGTGAGTTGGGTATAGTTAATAATACTTTGTATATGAATAGTACACTATTATTTTTACTAATTTTATGGTCTTTATAAGATTTCCATTGTATATATGCTATGATTCAAACTTTTAAGTAATTTAGGGTTCTAGTTGTTTAAACTATTTTTTATTTAAGAAAAAATAAATTAGAGCCCTCTCTCTTCATGCAAGATTGTAAGGTGCAGTGAGTCCTATCGCTACTTGTGACTAAATTAAATGTATAATAATATATAAATACTCCCATTTTTCGACTAAGCAAAATGAGCATGCTCTATTAGTTGTTTGCTTGTTTTAATGCACTCTTATGTCAACAATTTGAAATAATTGTCAATTTTCTGCGTAAAATTTGCAGTCTCAGGTTATCCGATGAGTGCCGCATGGTGTAATGCAGGAATTTGTGAAGGATTGCAACATAAATGGAGTGTCTTGTGAATTCCTTGCTGAGGTAGTCTTTTAGCGAATAGCTACTGATAGTCTGAAATATAATGAACCTTCTCTTAATGAAATGAATATGCCTTAATTTTAAGCAGATACTCAATTATATCTCCATAACTAAATTCCTAATGTCATAGTAGGCTATTCGCCATATTTTTGTTTCAGCTTGGTGCTTCCAATGTTAGTCGCGTTCTGCTAGAAATCGAGTATGATGAGGTTCCGGAGAATTGTGGTTAAAATTTAAAAACCAACTCTGCCACTTCCCCTCTTCAATCTATAAATAAAATTATTATATTCTGTGATCTCTTCATATCTTGTTGGGTGATTTGCTTGAGTCTTCCATCCATCGGGATTTTGAAGACTTCCATCCATCGGCTCAATGAACCCTTGTGCCATCCAGCAGTATTTTATTTTTCATAATCCTTTGGAAACAATGTACAATAAGCAAAGCATTGTTGTAATTGTGGTGTTAGGTGAATGTAACTCAGCTTCAAAGTTGAAATGACACTGTTTTCCTGTTGTTCCATCATTCTAAGTTTTGCGTCCCTAAAAGACTCCCATTCTTGCAGAGTATCCTGAGAATAAAGAAGACCCGCAATAGTCCTTATTGCGAGAGGAACATTGGCACACTTCTTGACTATCTCTTTGCCTACGATTGTCAAATGTGGATCCCTTTCCTCTTGTCCCTCTTTAAATGCTAGGTTTCGAAACAACTTCCAGGATTGGCTCTCGGGCAAGACACCCAACTCGATGTCAACGTTACAGTCTTGACAAGACTTGCAAACATGAGTGCTGGAGTGAAAACCACGTAAACTACCTGCATTTCAACATTTGTTTTGTTGATTCGTTTCTTGTACGTTATATTCCTCCAAAATTAGGCGATAAAGTACACTAAAATGAATCTATATATGTATGTAATTTATCCTATATCGCCTTCTTTTTCTTCTCGATAGGATAATTTAATTACTGGAAAGAATTCCGATCCACAATCTGTATGAAAAACAAATAAATATGTACGAGTACATAAAATATAGTCGCGGGACTTACCTTATTCAAGGGCCTCCTAGCATCTGCATTCAAAATACTCCGTATTACAATATCCAGTTGCCAAAAAGGCTCCTAATCCACTGATTATTGACACTTGCAAAATAGGCATTGGTGACACTTCAAAGAGTGACAAGAAACCTATTTTCTTCTAGCTTCTTCCTCTCTATTTCCTTTCTATTTTTTTCTCAAGTCCTCAAAAACTTCCAACTTTCTCTATGTTTGTAGAATGAATGAATTGTAGTTTGCAAGAAGTTCAGTAATCCAATTCGATCAATACTTTAATTAAATGGTAAATGAAGAATTTCGTCACAAAAAGAAATGCATATACAAACTGACATCTAGAGTCTCTCTAAAGTCTAACTGATATTCATAAATTTAGCCATGAGCAAAATCATTTGTTTTTTTGTTGATCATTAGAAAATTGCAAAAACAACAAAATAAAATGAGCTTTGGTAAGACCCTAGGAATAATAACACGTACTAGTATACTACCTCTGTGTCTTTTTGTTTTTGCGAAAAGAAATATTTTATACTTCTATCTCACAAATAATAAGAAACGGAGATAGTATAAATATAAATTAAATACCCTTCACGGAAAAATAAAATAATGAGGCAATTTGAATCGCATCTGTCCCAGAGCCAATAATTCGATCTACCATAGTAGGAGAACACATGTTTTAGACAAAAAAAATAAATATAGTGTGTGATCCAATTGGCTACATATCACATATTCAGACAAATTGTACATGTGTACTATTAATCTATTATGCGTTAGTATACATTTCTTTTAACTGAAATAAGAAGATCTAATAAAAGGATGATCATATAATACTCCACCAGTTCACTACTTCAAAGTACTTGTTTTTTGTGTTTATTTCATGCTATTATTAAGGCCTATTATGAAATGGAGGGAGTACTTGAACATGCATGTGGAGTACTCCATTCAATCCAATCCGTTCCTCAATAATACACATATACAATTTGTGTGAATATCATTAAAACTATATATCCAATCCGATTTAGATTTGTCTTGATGCGTTGTTTGAAAATAGTATTGGAAAATAACTTGACTGCATGGACCATCTGTGACAATTTTATTTTTTTTTAAGGACAAATGTATAATTTTGACTGATGGATAGTCATAATATTTTGCTTGTTTGCCCTTATAATTCTTTGTTCAGGATAGAATCCACATAAATACTGTGGACCAGAGAGTAAGTGCAAGTGCTGCAAAAAGATATGTCCAAAGAAATATAACTGAGCACTCTTCTTGTCCCACATCATATAATTGTGCCATGGTACCTGCAACAACCAACCAAAACAGACAGGGAAATTTAGTTGAAATCTGAACTAGACTTACTATGAAGCAAGATGTTAAAGCTTAGGAATTAGTTGATGACTAAACGATGCTCATGGCCGAAGGCAATACGAACTGAAGCATCAACACGAAGCGATATAAAGGGTCTGGTGGGAGGAAGCCAAAAGTATCAGCAGCTTTTACTACTCCAATTCCAATCACAGGAAGCAGCAAGTATTTGACAAATAGAATCCCAATTATCACAGTTGGCTTTACTTTTGATGATCTTAATCCTGTTTAAACCAAGTAATTAGTCAGAGATTGTAATCCTGTTTAAATGGACTGTTAACTCAAATCTTCTGATATTAATTTACCTTGTATTAGGTTTCCACCTAGTATAAGGGTGATAGAAGGTATTGTTCCATCCCTGCAAGAATATTTATAAGGTATGTTATAGTTTAGTAGATGTTATTTTGTATATAGGCTTTGTTCTCTTCAATGTAAATTTCTTCTGTAAAATTGAACTCATTTTTTCTGAACTGCTCTTGCTTTTGATGAGCAAAACTTATTTTTGCTGTAACTGAATTTAATAAGCTGAAAAAAACAGAGTTGAAAATTTCACCAAGACATACCCAAGCAATTTGAGGGAATCTTGTATCACTTGAAGTGGAGCTCCATCCCCTATAACAAGGCCCCTCAACCAAGTAGTAGCTCCAAAAATGAGTCCAATAATCTAGATCAAAAGCATAAAACTGCATAAGCTAGTCGAAGGACTACATGAAAAGCCACGTCCTTTGCCTAACTCCAGGCCTGTCTGGACTTTGGATGTACCATTATAAATATTTTACTCCGTAGTTGTTATTACAATGGTTATTGTTAGTCCTGTCTGGACTTTGGATGTACAAACCAATCCTAGGACTATTGTCAGCTAAATATTGAAAGTTCATAGCATATAGGATCGAAAAGAAGGTAGTCTTAAACATTTAGTAGTAGCATTTCAAGCAGATTAATGCAAGGTGCTACATACATTGCTATTTCACCATACAAAGTCTGTAAAAGTTTATGTTTATAGATAGAAGAGAGACTCAGTATACCAACGCTAGGAGGTGCCATTAGTTCCTCTAATATTAGGTGTAGAAACTCGATTATCTTCCTCCAAAGGGGCTTGCTTTCCTTCTTAGGTGATACCTGAGATATATATACAGGTCAGATAAGTTACAGTACTATTATTATATTCTGTAAACATACTATACAGAAGAAAAGAATGAACTTACAGGATGGCTTTCTGCATCATACCCTTCACTCTCTCCATTGAGAAGATGGGCTTTTACATCAGCTTCTAAGTCGTCGTTTGGATCCCTTGCAGCCTCCTCTTCCACGACTCTTAGTGCCTTAAACTTAATGGATGAACTCTTTACCAAGTGAAAAGTGTATGTCCATATGTAAAACCCCCCTAGCTGCAATAACAACAGCATGCTAGGTGTTTCAGTGCGAAAGCATGCTTAAGCCTATGATGCAAGCAAATTTGTCAAAATTCTTATCTAAAGATGCTCATCAATATGTGTTACTAAAAAGTGGAGGAGCTATTTTGGCATACCTAATCAAAATATTAAGTATTAAAATTAAAATAAATAAAACAAATTAGATTACAGATAAAAAAAATAAAAAATAAAATAAAATAAAATAAAATAAAAAACTGGTTATAGATTCTATCTCCTCGCATATTTTTTTTCATTTGAAGAAAACACTATAATATTAAAGACCCAATGAAATAAAAAATACAGTCAGAAATTGCAAGGCAGAAAAAAGAAACAAAATTTTCCACCTTAACGAGATAAAACTCAATAACCTCAATGTCGACCTCTTCCTCGGCCTCTTCCTCTACCCCATCCTCTACCTCCTCCTCTACCCCCTCCTCAACCTCCTCTACCACCTCGGCTCCTCCTCTCATAATTTGTAGGCTTAAGACCTAACAACTGAACACCCCTCTTATTACGTCGTGGATCTTTATTATCTTCATCTTCCTGGTACTTTGCTTTACTTTTAGAAACAAAGGAAATCTCTCGTGACCCTCCTCGTCCTACTTTAACATCACCATGCAAACGAGATGCTCTTTGATCATCATGCAAAGCAGCCACTCATATAGTAGTGAAGGGTTGTTGTATATTACTTCATTTTCCTTCTAGTACACTGAAAATTTTATGTGCAAAAGAGTAGGTTTTGGTGTCAAGTTGTCTTTCATGAATTAGACTTGCCAACCTCAGTGATTAATAATTTGTGAAAGCCCAATGGATCAGGGTGAGAATGTCTTGGGTATAGTTAATAATACTTTGTATATGAATAGTACACTATTATTTTTACTAATTTTATGGTCTTTATAAGATTTCCATTGTATATATGCTATGATTCAAACTTTTTAAGTAATTTAGGGTTCTAGTTGTTTAAACTATTTTTTATTTAAGAAAAAATAAATTAGAGCCCTCTCTCTTCATGCAAGATTGTTAGGTGCAGTGAGTCCTATCTTTACTTGTGACTAAATTAAATGTAGAATAATATATAAATACTCCCATTTTTCGACTAAGAAAAATGGGCATGCTCTATTAGTTGTTTGCTTGTTTTAATGCACTCTTATGTCATCAATTTGAAATAATTGTCAATTTTCTACGTAAAATTTACAGTCTCAGGTTATCCGATGAGTGCCGCATGGTGTAATGCAGGAATTTGTGAAGGATTGCAACATAAATGGAGTGTCTTGTGAATTCCTTGCTGAGGTAGTCTTTTAGCGAATAGCTACTGATAGTCTGAAATATAATGAACCTTCTCTTAATGAAATGAATATGCCTTAATTTTAAGCAGATACTCAATTATATCTCCATAACTAAATTCCTAATGTCATAGTAGGCTATTCGCCATATTTTTGTTTCAGCTTGGTGCTTCCAATGTTAGTCGCGTTCTGCTAGAAATCGAGTATGATGAGGTTCCGGAGAATTGTGGTTAAAATTTAAAAACCAACTCTGCCACTTCCCCTCTTCAATCTATAAATAAAATTATTATATTCTGTGATCTCTTCATATCTTGTTGGGTGATTTGCTTGAGTCTTCCATCCATCGGGATTTTGAAGACTTCCATCCATCAGCTCAATGAACCCTTGTACCATCCAGCAGTATATCAGGTTCTGCTTGTTTATTTTTCATAATCCTTTGGAAACAATGTATAATAAGCAAAGCACTGTTGTAATTGTGGTGTTAGGCGAATGTAACTCAGCTTCAAAGTTGAAATGACACTATTTTCCTGTTGTTCCATCATTCTAAGTTTTGCGTCCCTAAAAGACTCCCATTCTTTCAGAGTATCCTGAGAATAAAGAAGACCCGCAATAGTCCTTATTGCGAGAGGAACATTGGCACACTTCTTGACTATCTCTTTGCCTACGATTGTCAAATGTGGATCCCTTTCCTCTTGACCCTCTTTAAATGCTAGGTTTCTAAACAAGTTCCAGGATTGGCTCTCGGGCAAGCCACCCAACTCGATGTCAACGTTACAGTCTTGACAAGACTTGCAAACATGAGTGCTGGAGTGAAAACCACGTAAACTACCTGCATTTCAACATTTGTTTTGTTGATTCGTTTCTTGTACGTTATATTCCTCCAAAATTAGGCGATAAAGTACACTAAAATGAATCTATATATGTATGTAATTTATCCTATATCGCCTTCTATTTCCTCCCGATAAGACAATTTAATTAATGGAAAGAATTCCGACCACAATCTGTATGAAAAACAAATAAATATGTACGAGTACATAAAATATAGTCGCGGGACTTACCTTATTCAAGGGCCTCCTAGCACGATGAAAAACCATTATTTTTAATTTTAATTTTCTTGTTATAAAAGTGATTGACAATAAAACTTAAATATACTAAAATTGCCAACGTGGATACTTTAGGCAATCACAATGTGCCTTATAACTTACCTTTTGATAGTTATTTTTCAATAGACTACTGTAAAATTTGTATTCATATTCAAATTAATTCTGTTACTGCTACTGCTACGACACGACAATTCTTTCTTTAATTTGTATGTTCATACTATCTTCTTATGCAGCCTTTAGACAACTATAACACGACTCATACATCTAATATGTACGACCCTCAAATTTATTAAGTATTGTTTAGCAATCACATTAACCACCCCAAGCTTAATCCAAATCCTCTCAATTTTCTCTTAAACGGTAAGATACGGGGGAAGGCCCCTCCCCCTATCACAGAAATGGAGGAATGAGGAATCAAACCCTCATCACTTGTGGGAGGGGGGAGACAGTCCCTCCATCTCCAAGATCCTTCCAAATCCTCTCAACTATCTCAAAGTAAAAGCACCTACATTTATCCTATCAAAAGTCAAACCAACGTATTTGACTTTGATTACATCACTTTACTATGGAGCTTTGAAACAAAACTGATACACTAAATGCGAACGCCCTACCACAATGAACTGCTCCCTTCTTCAACTAAAAGTATGTCCTTTTTCATCTTTTTCCCATGTGACTTCTTGCATGTCACAAAAGTAGAGGACTGATTATTCTATGTATGGATATAATTACAATCATGATTTTATACCCTCCGATAATCACTCAGTATGATATAGAAAAAGCACGTTAATTAAGCTTGTTTATTCATCTTATTGTGCATTTGTGCTTTCCCTAAATAGTAACGCAGTTAGTAGAATAAACTAAATTATCATCGATCAATGCAAATAATACTATCCTACTAGTGTGATTATTTAATTCAAACTTTACACCCAAAGGTGAGATATAGTACCGTTGCACCAATGGTAGAATGATCTCTCTACTCATCAATATTAATAATTGGATGTCTTATCTGAACTTATCAAAATCTATTTTATTTCTTCTAACTTTTTAATTATAAATATGGTTAAGTGGTGTTTAGAGTGAAGAAGAGCACAATAAAAAGGCCTGAAATTTGTTAATTCGGAAAGTGAATTTATATTCCAAAAGAGTTGATGGATTAAAGACTATGACCGTGTAAAACATACTTCACAAATATGTCACTATGTTTACATTATTGAGCAATATTTCATATAATGCATTATCCTATAACTAGATCTGTCATATATCGATTTGATCTAAAACAGTTTGACCTAACTCAAAGTGAACCAATTTAGAATTTAACTGCATATATAATTGTAATAATTTAGCAAAGCTCAAATTAAAAATAACTCGACCCAACTAATCATGACCGGAACCCGACATATAACCTGAATTGACACCTCCTCCTATAAGTTTATAACTTAAAAAAAACCTTATATGCATTCACGCACATACACAAACAAACACTCACTACTAAGTTGTATGCCACTGTAGTATATTCCAAGACTCTTTCACACATATTAATGAGATTAAATAACACGACAACATAAAGTCACGAGTTCGTTACAATTATAGTCCTGTAGATTTCCAACGTCCAATAACAACCTCCAAATGTTCAATCCCATTTTCATCATCTTGGGTTCACGGAGGCTGCATAACTATTAACCAAAGCAAGGGCATTACTAGTGTACTCCTTCACAATCACTATCTTGTCAAACACTTCATCTTTCACCGGACACTCTGCAACGTCCTCGAACCCGTCCGTGCACGTATCCTCATTGGTTAGAGCCGCGCTCATCCACGTCTGGACATTACTGAGCTGGAACCTTAACGCCTCGATCGTGGAGGACTCGGCAGCCGAAGCTACCTGGCTCATCTCCTTTAGTGATTTATGTATTTGGTCGACGGCGTCTCCGAAGGTGGAGGAGCAGTCATGGAGGGCGGAGGTGGCCCGTGGGTCGGGTCCGTAGTCGGCCCGTTGGGTCATGTTGGCAAAGAAGGCGGAGGCGTGGCGGGCCCGGGCTAGGGTGAGCCCGATGGAGATACGGGCTAGTTGGGCCGGGTCGAGGCGGACTGCATTGGCGTAGCGGGAGAGGGAGGTGTAGCATACGTCAGGGTAGAGGGTGGTGTTGCAACTCGATCGAATGAAGTCGAACGAAGTGGCGGTGGTGGGGGGAGTAGCGGTGGGGGTGGGGAAGGAGTGTGTGTGGTGGAGGAAGAATGTAAGGAAGAGGAAAAGGAGTTGAGAGTTCATGGTTAATGAGGATGAGGCTTTGTTTGTTTTTTGAGAAGTTGTATTTTAGAGGGACAAGAAGAGTTGGGATAATTTTGGGGATTGGAGCATTTTATACATAGAATTTTATGAATGAGAATGTGAATGTATAGTGTCGTCTTTCTTTGTTGTAATGTAATGGGGGTTGTATGGATAAGAATAACTTATTATGTTGGTTAGATTATGTTTTCTTGTTTATTGTTACTGTTAATTTGTAATGATTGCAAATAACCATGTTTTGCCGATTTAAGATGATAACCAATTAAAGTTTTGGTAGCAATTCCAATTGTGCAACTTTAATGATGTGATACCTTTCTAGCTCCCGTGAATGATCTTCACGGATTATTGTAAATTGGGACATGTTTTCCCTTTGTTTCTTAAATTTTATTATATGTGGTAGTCAAATTTTATAAATTTTGATCGTAAATTCTCACTAGGATGAATATCATGAAAATAATACGGAGTATTAATTTGTCAAAAAAAATAATAATAATATTATTGCTTCCAAAAAATAATAATAATAATAATAATAATAATAATAATAATAATAATAATAATAATAATATTGCTTCCAAAAAAAAAGGGGAAAAAAAAGCATCAATAATATTGAGATTTTGTCAAAGAAAATTTAAAGAAGATTTTGTTATATTTTGCTCGTATTAATTTTGAAATAATACATATAATCTAATATATATAAATAAAGTAGACATTTTTGGAGAGCATTCGGAGCGCCACGTAAGAAATATACTTATTTCGACCAATAAGAAGAAAGATTTATATTTTATTTTTGAATTAAAAAATTATGTCGCCACCTAGATAAAAGTAACGAACTAGATTTGATATATCTAAAATTTTAATGGCACGTAGATTATAATCCACGAATTAAATTATTTTAATGAAAAAAAAAGTAAAAGTATAGGAAAAAATAAATTTATTAATTCAATACTACGAGTATAAGAAAACCAAAAAAAATATACCAAAAAATATTTAAATGATAAACGCTTATAATAAAGTTTGATACCTATCATTATAAGATAAATTTTGATAGTATTTATGATAAGAAATACATATTGTTCGTTTATTATAATTAAATTAAAATTTATGATACCTACCATTATAAATTGACACATCATACGACACAAATAAAATTTCGTATCAATAAAAAACCTCATCAAGCAAATTTTGTGTTAGTAATTTTTTGTTAGTTTTTGGTCATCAATGGCCGGGTAATTTTTAGCTTAATTTTTAAAATCCTATGTTAAATTAGTATTTCTAATTATTACTTACATTGTGTTAATTTGGGATACTCAACGATTATATGTTTATGTTTTATTTACTAAATGTTTTTTTACATGCAGATTTAACACATCATACGACAAAAATAAAATTTCGTATCAATACAAAACTCTATCAAGCGAATTTTGTATTAGTTTTAGGTCATTAATGTCCGGGTAATTTTTAAAATATTATGTTTAAATTTATATTTGTAATTTTTAGTTACGTTGTATTTATTTAGGATACTTCACGATTATTTATTTATGTAATGGCATAGGATTAGATGTTGTATACTTAATATATGGATGACTTTGGTTATTTTTGGAGATGATGAAAAAATTCCAATGCATAGATTTGATTTTATATCGCAACAATTTTTCATTTATTGGTAAATATATTGATTTATTTTATATAAATGTAAAGATTTAATTTATATCAATTTCAGTTTGGCTAACATTTCACGGTTCAATTTATCCATTGATGTAGTAGGTTGGTTGTGACGAGGTTGGTGACTCTATCGAAATAAAAGATATGGTAAAACAATGAATAACGATTTAGGATTTAAATTATTAAAAATTTATCATTTCACATTAAAGATTTTATATAACGGAAAAAAATATCATATTTACAATTTATTTATATTTAATAAATTCATTATAAATTATAGTAAAAAAATAAATATTAAACTTTTGTAATTTTGTCTGAAATTATTAAATACAATAAATCAAATAATTAAAAATCTTAGATGAAAAAACTGTGCATCGTACGGGCTTCCATCTAGTTTGATATATTAATGGAATGGAATATTAATCTACTTCTGTCTTTACATACCATTTGCACAAATTCTCTAAAAAGGCGGGTGTACGTTAATATATTTTAAAACAAGTTAAAGTTATATTAAAAGTACTTAAAGTTACCCTTTATACTACAAAGTTATTATTTTTCTATTGATAAATTTTATCTTACAAAAAACTTATAACGAATTAGATTAATCATATTAGTCTTTATAGTATGTAATCACGTATCTATAAGAAATTACACATTAATATAAAATTCAAACCAACGACAAATTAAAAGTTACCCTTTAAGTGGTTTAAGTTACCATAAAAAATAGTTAAAAGTTATGCTCAAACTGACCATTTTACAATAAAATTAATGTACACCCGTTGTGTACAAGACTTATTCTACCATTTGCTAACTTGATTATAAATGAGGATTTCTCATGAACACTCGTTGAGGCAACTCACTTGTAGAATTTGTTATATACACTCTGGTGTACCGTACACCCAAGGTCATTTGCTCATTAAATCAACAAATGAGCAAATTATATTTTTACTCATTTGTTAATTGAATGAGCAAATGACCCTGGGTGTACATTATAGTTTCTCGCTCACTTGTAATTAGGGGTGTCAAAAACTTACCCGACCCGAAAGGTTTACCTGATATCGAACTGTTTTCGATATAGTTGGACCCGAGTATTTTTTATCCGAATTCGATCTAAAGTCGACCCGACGTTATCTTGAAACCGACTCCATCCAGTAATTTATGATCCAAACCCAACTTGGAATCGACTCATATTTAATCCGAAACCAATAAGACCCAATAATATAAATTCCAAATTCGATCTAGCTCGAAACGAAATCTACTCGAAACCATTTAGACCCCAACAATACCTCTTTTTACTCGACCTTTAATTACCCGATTTGAAATTTCCCATGACCCAATTAAAACCGACCCGAAATTACTCATGATCCAATTAAACCCGACATATTATTAATCTAACTAAAATTTTCCATGACAATAACCCGACATGACTAAGGTAATTGGTAATAGGGCACCAATAATAACTCATGATCCAAGTTATGAATTGTAAAGAGAACAAAGAAGGGAGACAGAAAATGGAATGGTAATTGGTAATAAAATGGTATTAAAAAAGCTTTAATTTATAGTAAACATTGAGATACTACAAAGGTAAAGAGTGGTGCAATAAGAGTGTTTGAATGGAGTCAACATTATAGGGACGATACAATGTTGATATATTAGTCCAAGATTTTAGTACTCTAAAGTCAAACAATCCTAAATTATCATTATACCATAAAATATAAGTTCCTAAAATGTATAAAATTTGAAATAAGTTCCTAGAATGTATAAAATATGAAATTTATAATATATATATATATATAATATATATATATATATTTTAATGTGATTAGGTTTGTTATATTCACCTAATTTTGACGAATCTGAATCTATTTCAACTTAATTGAACTTATCTGAATTTATATAAACAACTCTAAATTTATCTAATTTTATATAAACATATTTGAATTTATCTAAACTCGTATCAATCTGAACCTATCTGAATTTATTTGAAGTTATCTAAACTTATTTGAATTTTTAAGAAAATATCTGAATAATCTGAAATAATCTGAACTTATATTAATTTATCTGTACTTATCCGAATTTATTTAAAATTATCTGAACTTATATTAATTTATCATTAATTATCTGAACTAATCTGAATATTTCAAATATTATCTGAACTTTTCAAAATGTATCTGAATTTATTTGAACTAATTTGAATTTGAATAAATTTATCTAAAATTATATGATATTATCTGAACTTATAGTCTTGAAATAAGAGAAAATAAGGTGAATTGAACAAATCCTTATTTGAACATACTTTAACCTTTTTTTTTTTTTTTGAATGGAATAGGGAGGGGTGATTTCATTAAATAATAATAGTCACTCGGCACTTACAATCATCCCTTAAGAGATCTAAATTCTCAATAACATACTTTAACTTATTAGACCGTGTTATAGCTTATTTTAGTTGTACTTATTTAAATTCGGATAAGCTTTATTAAAACTTATTTTAGTTATACGTCAAACTCAAGTAACATTTATTCACTATTGACCCTTAGTAATGTGGCCTTACTAAATAAGGTGTTAGAATTAGTATGAAACCAACATATAATAAATGTGTTGCGATTATTACGAAATGGAGGGGTATAACTTCATTAACAATAACAAAATTCAAACATTACTAAAATTTGAAAATCTTGTATTCTTAATCACGATTTAGATGATAATATACAATAAACAATCTTAATACTTCTAATAATCAAGGATTGATAATGATAAATAGCCGCAAAGACAATAATAAACGCAAAACGGTAAGGAAAAAGACATTTTACAATGATGTGAGAATCACCCGATCAAGGTGATAAATAGTCATTTTCTGTAATAACTTGAGTTGTCAATCTTATAACAATTCTAATAAGCCAATACAAAACTTAATTAAATGAAACCCAACAGATTATATATGAATGAAAATCTCCAATAACAAAAATGACATGACATGTATTTTAATATAGCTAAAACGACTTGAACTGAAATTGACCCGAATTCAAATAAGTCGACTCAAAACCGAACCTAGCTAAAGTAAATTTAACTCAGAATGAGCTAATAATCGAAGTAACCATATTCAAATTTTAACCGGAACTGAATTGATTTGAATCGAGATCTAATCAAATTCGAAATGACCCGATCCAAAGTTAAATAAATCCATTCTGACCCAAATAAACCCGATAAAATATGAATCCGAGTTCATCTTAACTCGATATGACTCGACCCGAATTTGACTTGACCCAAGTTCGATTTGTATCCAACCATGCTTGAACTCAACTTTAACCCGAATCTGATTAAGCTCAACCCGATTTAATTTGGTTTGTTAGATTTAAATGACCCATCATTACTCGACCCAAACATCCCAACCAGTTGTGGGTCAACCCAAACTCTATTTGGGTACCCGATTTGACACCTCTGCTTGTAATGTTTGGACAACAAGGCTCGTTACCCAACGTCATCATTATGATTTCAAGGCTGAAACACGGTCATTGTCCAATGTCCATATCTAGTATCTACTACTTTTAATCCATATTACTTGCAATATTTTGACACAACACGGTTGTTAATACACAACTAACACAAGTTTAACCAGGGTCGGCTATTGGGC